GGTGCTGGGGGATTGAACCGCGGTCCCTGATGCTTTGCCAAGCTTGTTCTAAGTAGGTGCCTTAGACCACTGAGCCATCTCTCCAGCCCCTTGAGTGCTTTTTATAAAATGTGGATTGCTGTCTCTTTAGGATATTGCGGGGATTAAGTAATTCCAGCCAGAGCTTCACGCAGTACTTTCACACAGGAGGTTCAGGAGCTTGCCTTTGCCCACTCTTCAAGTGTCCCACTGTCCTGAATGGCAGGCATAAATGTGCATGCCCAGTGTCCGTGCCGTAGCAAGGCATTGCAGGGTGGCAGGTGTCCTGCTGGCCCCTAAGAGCCCACTCCACCAACATGCCCACAAGTCATGTGGGTTATTTGTCCTGTAGAGCAGGTAGGACCCATGTTACCATGTATCCTGTTTTTGTGATAAAAGATTGGTACACCATGAGCTAAGGTTGTTTTGAGCTTTGGCCTCAGGTTAGTCATGGTTTAGTTACTTGTTTTGCATCCACTTTTCCCCACAAAAGCAGTTCAGTGGTAATTGTGTTGATTCAAGAATTGCTTCTGTGATGGAGCTGCCTCTTCTGTACTACTGTTCCTCCCCCTGTTCTTTCACAGCTCCACTCTGACCTACGGGGCTCGGTTGTTTCAGCTTGTCATTTTTGTGGTCACATCTGGCTGAGGGCAGATAGAACAAGTGGGGCTTCTTGTTACCCTGGCAGAAGGAAGTGCAGCCCTCCTGGGAGTAGGTGAGGCAGGAAAGGCAGATTTAATGACCTGGGGAAAGTTCTCGAAAGGTACAGAGTTGGTCTCCCAGAGTCATCCTGATATTTTCAGCCTTTTGATAATGTAAACAGTTTCATCAGTAACAGTGTGTTCTTCTGTTTCTACAGACATTTTGCTGTCAGCTGGAAAAGCTGATCCATTGGCTGTATAATGTCACAGATGTCACTGACCTTGGGACTCCACCCCGGTCCAGTCTCACGGGTCTCAAGTCTTCTCTGCAGCTTTACCGGGTAATGTGTGCTCCTGGCTTCTGGCAATTCATTCATGAGTGGTGGCAAAATTACTGAAAATAACTGATGTGTGGTGTGTCATAGTTCAGTTGCCTATTTTGCCCGAAGTTAAAATCAGATCTTTTCAAATTCTTTTTTTGGGGGGCGGTGGTTTGAGACAGGGTATATAGCCCAGGCTGGCCTTGAACCTGCAGTGATCATCCTGCCTCAGCCTCCTGAGTGCTGGAATTAGGTGTGCACTACCATGTCCAGATAGATTTATTTCAAATCAGAGTGGTCTGACTAGTGTGCAAGCCTGTAATCTATTTGGGAGGCTCAGGCAGGATCATAAGCTAGAGACCAGCGTGGGCAGTTCAAGATGTGTGGAAAGTGGGTGGTAATGTAGTTCAGTGCTTCCTGGGTTCAATCCATAGTGCCACAGAAAAAGGCCGAAGGTTGTAGCTCAGTGTAAAGTGCTCACCTAACATGCCTGCAGCGCTAAGTTGTATTCCTAGTACTACCCCCAAAAAAAAATTTTTTTAAAAAGTTTTAGGGTGATTTGCATTGTAATTTCTTAGATGTGTCAGGTATTTATAGACAGGTAGAACCACTAGTAAATATGGGTATTTAAATGAAATTAAAGGTTAGATGGGGGGATGGGGAGATAGCTCAGTAGAATAAGCACAAGGGCCTGAATTCAGTCCCCAGTTCCACCAAAAAAAAAGGTTAGATTTTTTTTTAAGTTACCACTAGTACACTCCAGGTGCTTAGGTGCTCCATCTGTCTAGTGACCACCACACTGCACAGTGTAAGTACAGAACCCTTCATCACAGAAATTTCTGTTAGATATGTCAATATTTAAGGATCAGAGTTGAAACTGTCCAGACTCCAGAATATGCACAGGGTATTTTGATAGAGCAATTGTAAACAAAATTTTGGGTTATATTTCATCTTTTCATTAGTTATTTCCTGTTATTTTAAAAATCCTTAAATATTTTTTGACATGCTTGTGTATTAAGTATATTGGGGGATAAATCATATAGTTGTCTCTCCTAAACATACAACTAACCTTGGCTAGTTGCCAGCATGTTGGCTTGGCCAAGCCTCTCTACTACTGCATGAAGGACTGTGTGCTATGAGCTTGATGCTAGTCTAGAAGGTTCTTTGGGCTTAATACCCAGCCCTGTCTTCAGCAGAAGAGGTTGTCACTTCTGTGTACCTGAGCCAGAGCTGCATCAGCCTGTGCTACACTGCTTCCAGCCCACAGAAACACCCCAGCAGGAGGGAGGGCCTCAACTGAGAGCTTGCATGAGCTTGACGCCAGGCTTAGCTGCTCCACCCTACAAGGAATGCTGTTTGCTGCTGTGTGGACAGACGTTGCCATGAGTTCCTCAGCCAGAGTGAGCATACCAGAGGAGGACAACCCAGGAGTCCTATGTGCAGGCCCCAGTGTGCTTGTGTGCCCACACACATCTGTGCAGGTTCCCTACCTAGCTCCAGGGCAGGCACCTCTGAGGAGAAGAATCATCCTATTAGACTTACCTCAGTGGCCTTTGCTCCCGTGTGAACAGGGACAAGTGGACTAACTCTATTCCCTCCATTTGATCCCTCTTACCATTCTGTGTTAGCTTCTAGGCCTGCCAGAAGCAGCTTTATTTTGTGGGTACAGCTGAGATGTGAGGCGGCAGATGTTCCTACAGGTCCTGAAGGCCAAGGCCTCTGTGTACAAGTGAGAATGCATTGCCAGCCCTTCCCACACTGTAGGGCATGGTTCATGCTTACAGATGAGCTAACTTGGCTCCTGCTTAACATCAACACCTAGCGCAAGCACGTGTCTGTTCACATTTTAACCTCTGACTCATTTGTACTTTATTGTAAAATGGTGGGATTGAAGTAGCGTCTAAACTACACATAGTACCAGACAGTAAGTACAGATACAAGTAAAGGAAGACAGAAAAACTAAATCCAACAGGAAAATTATCACTTCAAAGTGTTAACCATGGGCTTTGGCTATGTGATTGACTTTACGTTTTTCAGCAGCTAAGCTCAAAAACAACCAACCATAGGCCTAGCAGCCATGAGGGGAAAACAGGAACTGCTTGAGAAACAAACTCCCTGCTTCCCTGAAGCTGAGGTGGTTCCCAAGGAGGTGTGCACAGAGAGAGGTCACCGGGGTGGACACAGTGGCTCCCCAAGGTCTCCATAATCACACAATGCTTGTGGTTCTTATCATTCAGGTAGAGTACAATTTATTTTGGGAATCTCATTACTTCTGTGAATGGAAAAAAAAAACATAATTGAAGCACAAAAAGGAATCTCTGACTCCAAGCTATTCATGAACCAGACTGCCCAAGAAAAACTCTTCTGTCAAACTAAAGAGAAAAAACTCTTTCCCCTGGGCTCAAAGAAGCTGAAATTATACTAGTCACTGCTTGAAGTATTTTGCAGACTAGGCCGTCTGTATTTTCCAGCGACCATGCCTGGTTTTTGTTTTGAAAACCTTTTATGAAATAGTAATGGAGCTTTTTTTCTTTTCCTGATACATCTTAAGCAATTTAAGAGAGATATACATGAGCATCAGTCCTTGACTGACAGTGTCCTAGAGAAGGGGGAGACCCTGCTTCAGTGCCTGTTGGACAATACACCAGGTGAGATGCTCGGGAGAGTTGTCGGTTATTTATTTTGGGCTGACATACAAGTGTACCAATTTATGGCCACAATGTGGCATTTCAGTGCATGTGTACAATATGTAGTGATCAGATCAGGTAACTTGGTGTTCACTAGCACAAACATTTATCAGTGTCATTTCTTTATGTTGGGACCATTCCACATCTTTACTGCGTATTTTGAAATACACAATTATTGTTATCTACACCTTCTGTGCTATAAAACATTAGAAGGGCCAGGGATCTAGCACAGTAGAATAAGTGCTTGCCTGGCAAGTGTAAGTTCCTGAGTTTGATCCCTGGTACCACCCAAAATAAGAAAAAAACAAACTATAAAACATTAGAAATGTGATAAGGGATAAAACTCATTAACAGGGCCTGTGAGATAGCTCAGCGGATTAAGTACCTGCTTAGGCAAGCACAGGGACCAGGGTTCAATCCCTGGTACCACATGCCACACAGGCCCTGGCCCCAGGTGCACCAAGCCAGCCAAGAGACTGGATATGGTGGCACGTGCCGGTAATCCCAGCACTGGGGAGGCTGAAAACAGGAGGATCACTATGAGTCCAAGCTGCATAGTGAGACCCTGTACCAAATATACTTCCATCGACAAGGTCATGGGTTGGAGTCTATGCCTTGTTACTAAAAAAAAAAAAAAAAAAAAAAAAACAATGAAAGTACTCCTTCTGTTCAGTTGTACAACTGTAGTTACTCAGTAACCATCTCCCTCTCCACAACCTTCTGTAAGATGGATCTTTAGCTTGCACATGAGATCATACAGTATGTCTTTCTCTATGTCTGAGTTATTTCACTTAATGTTCATTTCTATCTATGTTGCACATAAACTTCTTTTATGACTAATACTCTATATTGTATGCCATGTTTTTCAGTCCATTCATCTATCAGTTACCACTTAGGCTGATGTCTATTGCAAATGTCTTTGATGTGCTGATTTAATTTCCTTTAAGTATATATCCAGTAGTGGAACTGGTAGATCGTGTGACAGTGTTACAAGAAATTGACAGTATTTCATAATGGCTATATTAATTTAATTTCCACCAACAGAGCATGAGTGTTCCCATTGCACTGCAGCTGCACCATCACTGATTTGTCTTTTTAATAGCTGCTCTAACTGGAACAAGATTATATCTCATTGTGATTTTCATTTGCCTTTTCCCTTGTTGTTGTTGTTGTTGTTTTAAACCCTGGAATCAAATTCAGGATACCTCACACTTCACCAGGCAGAAGCTATACCCCACCCTCATGGTTTTCCATATTGGGGTGGGGGATCATAATCTTCTTTTGGGGTGTCTTATTCAGGTCACCATCCCATTTTAATTTTTTAAAATTCTTTATTCTGGATTTACTTGCTTGCTAAGTCAGTTCAAATACATTTCCCCCTTCTACAGGTTGACTCTTCACTGTTGTTTCCTTTGCTGTGCAAATGTATTCTAGTGTAATGTAATTCAGCTTGTTTTGTTGCATGATGCTTTTGGGGTCAGAGTCAAAACAAATCTTTGCCCAGACCTATGTGCTGCATGTTTTCTTCTAGCAGTTTCGGGAGCTAACATTTAAGTCTTTGATCCATTTTGGGTTGGCTTTTTATACAAGTTGAGCAATGGAGAACTAGTGTTTCTGGTTTGTTTTTTTGGCGGAACTGGAGATTGAACTTAGGCCCTGTGCTTGCCAGGGAAGCACTTATTTCACTGAGCCATCTCCCTGGCTCCCTGGAGGACTAGTTTAAATCTGCATAGGGAGATCCAATCTTCCTACCACCATTTATTGAAGACTTTCACTTTTCTGTATGTTCTTGCTCCCTCTGTTTAAAAAAAAAAAAAAAATCAATTGGCTGTAGATGTGTGGATTTATTTCCAGGTTCTCCATTTGTTTCATTGGTCTGTGTATCTGTTTTTTTTTGTTTGTTTGTTTGTTTTGTTTTAAATTTTTATTTATTTATGTGTGTGTGCGTGCGTGTATGTGGCCAGCTCAGCCCACCAGGGGGCAGGGCTGGCTGGCATGTGGTGCTGGGGGACCGAACCGCGGTCCCTGTGCTTTGCTGAGCTTGTTCCAAGTAGGTGCTTTAGACCACTGAGCCATCTCACCAGCCCCTGTGTATCTGTTTTTATGTGCTTGTGGTTTAGTCACTTCACCAGCACTTAATTACTTTCAGAAGCAGGCCTATGGACCTACATGGTATATTGGGTAAAGAACCAGGATTCCAAGAGCACACTCCACCACTGCCACGCACCGAGGCCTTAGAGCTTCAGGGTGATGCTCTGTGGGTTCTTCACATCATCACTGCCCCTGCAGACCCTGGTGGAATATTAAGTCATAAAAGTAAGCCTAGCAGAAAATTAGGTATCAAGCCTATGAGAGCAATATTTGCTTTTGCTTTTATGTTGTCCTGGTGGTATTCTAGGTGAGAATTCTGGTTTTAACTCAGTAGCCCTTAGTTGTTGCTGGGGCATTCAGCAAGCAGTCCACATGAGTTTCCTGCTTTCCACAGCTCAGATTCAACTCTTGTTTATCTGCTTTGGGCAAGGAAGTTTCAGAAGAATATTGTATCGATCAAAAGGACTTAAACTCAGACTATTCTCAAGGAACAGAGACCCAGCGTGCAGGCCCGGCGTGTGAGTGAGACAACCCAGGGCCGCTGGATCCTCAATAGACCCAGAGCGCAGGCCCAAGACTGCCGGGGGCCCCCGGATCCTGAATAGACCCAGAGCGCAGGTCCTCCGTGTTAGTGAGAGGACCCGGGGCTGCCGGATCCTGAATCAACCCAGAGCGCAGGCCCGGCTTTCCTGAATAGACCCAGAGCGCAGGTCCTCCGTGTTAGTGAGAGGACCCGGGGCTGCCGGATCCTGAATCAACCCAGAGCGCAGGCCCGGCTTGTGAGTGAGACCACCCGGGGCCCATGGATCTGCATTCAACCTAGAGTTCAGGCCCAGTGCAGAACCCTTCAGCAGAACTCCCTGAAAAGAGGCTAGAGGCAAGATCCACCTAGCTGATTCAGGAGCAGAACATCTTGCCAGAGTGACACAAAGGGTTCAGCTCCAAAAGCTGTAGCAGGAAGAAGTGGAGCACAGCAGCCAGACCCCAGCCAGATCTAAGCAACACCCACATGGAGGAATCTGAACTTCGTAGATCCGGACCTGGTGCTAAGGTAATAACTCTATCTAAGCTCTACACCAAAGGTCAGAAGATAGTGGTATACAAAATGACAAAGAGAAGGAACAAAGTGCAGTCTCATGCCCCCGAGTCCACCCAGTACAACTGCAGAAGACACTAGCATAGAGGAAAGTGGAAATCACAAACCTAAAATCTCTGAAATAATAATGGAAGTAAAGAAACAACTGCAGAAAGGTATAGAAGAAATCAGATCAGAAATAATTTCTGAACTAAAAAAAGTAGTGATAACTATAATCAAAGAAGTACTAAATGCTTCTAAAGAACATACTGATTTAAAAAAATAGAACAGAATATAAAAATGATGGAACCCCTGAGTAAGCAAT